TAAAATATCCATTTCGGTGGACCTCTAAAAAAATAATTAAATAAAATGTATTAAAAAAAACTAAAAAGTAAAAATACGATAAAATTATTATAAAAAATTAAAAGGTAAAAGATAAGATAAATAAAAAAAAATTAAAAATAAATATAAAACAAATTAAAAAGTTTATAAAAAATAAAAATAAAATATTTTAAACAAATTGAAAAAATTTAAATAAAAACATTTTCGGTTTCGGCCTGACAATTTTTTTTATTTTGGTTGTTTTTAAATTTCTATTTCGGTGCACCTCTAATTATTTGGTTGTCTTTTAAAATCTCTGTAATGCTCCACACCAGTCCCTAGTCCTAAAGGCGAGGTGGCTAGTGATGAGACAGTGTTTGGCCATGGTTGAATGGTCAGCTGCCAGTGAGAAGGGCCTTAACGTGAGCAGCCTTGGGCTACCTTTGTTAGCTGTGTGTTGTTACTGGCCTTGTTTACCAGTGTGCTTTGTGTTGTGGCCTTCCATCCTCCGGGAAAGATATACCTACATGTTCACGCCGCATACTGAGTGGAGGGCCAGCAGTAGACCCATGGTGATAGCAAATGGTGTCAAAGTAGACTTTGTGCTGGTGAATTTTTGAATTGCTACTAAACTACCAGTCCGACAGCATTCAAAACTTCCTGGAATGTCAAATGCCATGTACTATACTTTTATCCTCTGACCACTAGATTACTGCCGAGTACTGTATAAATGTAGGGTTCAGAGGATGGACATACACATCCAAATCTGCAGGAAATGTCAAACTCCGAAAAGACTGATGGAGGCTGCAGCACTGGAACAGAGCAAAGGAAACAGGTGCCACAGGAGAGGCAAGTATACAGTGAATTTGTTTGCAGGGAACTGCAAACCCTTGCCAGTTGTTTGGTGCTACAACAAAGCTGCTTTAACTAGATCCATCTTGAGTTTAAGCTGAATTCCTTGAAAATTTGAAAACTACCCTTGCAAAAAGGATTCCCCTGCACTGCAAGGGATGCGCCAGGTTGTGGGCTGGCCCTCGATGACCTCACAATGCTGTTCCTGCATCGTATGTGATGACGCCTGCCACCGATGGAACACTGAAGAGGAGCAGCTTCAGGGGACAGATTGCACAGAGAGGAGGAAGCCTGTGGGAGTGAGTGATAGGCTAACTGAAATGACTTTTTTAATGGTACTCCATACGAATGTGAAATGTTTTGAATCCCCCCCCACCGAGTTCAGATTTAGGGAAAGTGAATCCTGACTGCTTGATGTGAGTCACTGTCCTTGCCCTTTGACCATCAGGCTTATTAAAAAAAAAAAACTGTGAAAGAAGCAAAGTGTTGAGGCAGATTGCTTGAGCAAAAGTAAATACACTCTATACATCTATTAGACTAAGAATCTGCCATCATTTAATAGGGAAAAAGCAGTGAAAATAAGATCAATCCACAAAACTGAACGAAAGGTGCATTTTGTATAGGTACAATGAGAGCTCGCCACTTACCCCCTGATGTTGCCAACACGAGATTGTCTGTGCCATCCTCATATGTGTAGAGAGCCCTGCAAAAAGACAGCAAAAACTGAAACAGCAGCACTTAAATGAGTCCTTATACAGAGTAGAAAAACAGGATATTGTTCTAAATAGAGGAACACCACAGAGCTCCAAATGTCCGTTTTATATTTATATTTCATAGTTCATATTATTTTTCACCTTTTCATACAGGTCTTATTTACTTATCAAAATTGTTGCTGCAACTGATTAAGCACCTCTGCCAGTGTAATCGTTTGTCCCAACCCCTGTAATTTCTGTTGAATAGCTTGGTCTGCTTGTTAATGTGAATAAAATATTAATAATGGCATTCATATATAGTTAATACTGCATATCTGATAGCACCAGCCATCCATCAGAATAATAGGAGTTTTGTACTCCCCATAAAATCCTTTTCATTTAAGGAGCACATGATAGCCCCCTATGTGATAGCATATTGCAGGTTGACAGGTCCTCTTTAAAGGAGACTCCCCTAATGTTCCCTGTGGACCTTAATGAAGCTGATCAATACAGATCATACACAGAGACAGGAGGAGGAACGAGCACCTGTGGCAGAAAAGGGGGGCAGAGGTGGTTCCAACTGAGATTTTGTAAGAAGTGCAAAAAGCACAAATTTTTTCATGTACCAAGCTCAATCATTTGCAATAGATCTTGTTTAAAAGATGCATCCACAGCCACAAGGTGACCACCTCTTCTATTTGGCACCAGACATGTTGCTAACCTTCAAAAACAAAAAGGAGCTACCCAAATCCCTCAGGAAAACTCATGAACCCAAAGTCAGAGGTGTACTCCAGGGGTTAAACCAGTGCTGTGTGTGAAGGAGGGAGCGCAGAAGTGACTCTTCTCCCAAGAGGCAACAAGGCAAACACACATGCTGCCGCAGTTCTGCACATCTCAAAATGCTGCCAAGCGAAGAAAAAGAGCAGACAATTTAAAATGGTGGTTGTGCCTAAACAGTGCTCAGCTGCTCTAGCAGTTAAACTGCCCCAGGAGTGAAACTGCCCCAAAGTCTAAAAAAAGGAGTGTAGCCACCACACTGATGTCCAGTATGCAATTAAAGCTTATAGGAAAGCCCAGCAACAAATGAGAGATTCAACTATCTAAATATACAGTAGCTGCTATAGAAAAGAGACAGACACACTTAGCTAGACACTTCCTGCCTCTCATTCTACTGCCATTTAGTTTCACTTTTCAAGCAGAGACAGGGCTTGGGAAAGTCAATCATCTTACACTCCAAAAGTATGTCATAGCATATATTTGAAACTGTAGCCATTAGTCTTCTAGCCACTTGCAACAAGTCTTTAGAGACTCAGCAAATTAAAAGTAGCACATCAATAGTCCAACAAAGCCCAACCACATATTAATGCAGTAAAGGAAAACATTTTTGTATCCCAAAGACTGGTTTCATTTCGGTTATTTAATTTATTATGGCGCTGTATTTACGGTCATAATTGAAAAACAAGGCATTGAGACTCAGCTGGATCTATATGTGTGCACAGTTGTAGTGAAATCCAGATTTACAGCAATAATTGTATTTACAGAAACGGCAGCAAAATACACACTATTCAGCATATAAATAGGTCCAGAAACAAAAACTGTTCCAGTCTCAAGACACAGTTTGTCCACCTTTGGGTGGTGCCAACAGAAAAGCTGAAACATTGTTTTCAATCACAGACTCCATGTCAGAGTCTTGCTGAATTGGCTGAAACTGGAGCCTTAGGTGGCCCTGTGGGCACAAAAGTTAACTGCTCACTGAAACCACTACAGCAGAATCACAGTTATCTTTTACGAACGATGGAAGAAAATTCTCTTTGGTGCACATGCAGATCACATTGAAGAGAACACAGAGGTTGCTTTGCAGCAAATTTGGGTAACCCAAACCCTGATTAAATATTCTTAATGCCAAAAAGGACCTCATGAATGCCTTATTTTCTGACGGGCTAACAAAATCTGATAACATTAAAAGAAGAACTCCAGAAATGTAAAAAAAAAAAAAAAAAAAAACCTTACCCTTGCAGACAAAACAAGCCCTTAACCCTTGCAGTGTGGAGGTAGCTCCACTAAGATAAGTTTTTGTTTTTTGTTTAACCATGAACATACCCATTAGATGCTGCAGATTTGAAACAATTTAGCTTTTTTTCCCAGATTTAGGAAATGGATGTAAATACTTCCAAGGTTGTATCAGACAAAATAGTGAATGACCATTGTGACACAGACGAACTCTAAATACAACTAGATTTATTCATTATGTATCAAGTATGCCAACATATAAGGCCCAGTTCACATTGCGCGATTTGCAAATCGCGCGTTTGTCGCGTGATTTGCATTTTGTGCGATATCGAGCAAATGCTTGCATCGAGCAAGCGAGAATCGCGGCAAAATCCGCTCCAAAAAGGGTCCCGCTGTAGCGACACACGACCCGCGACAGCAGGATCCTTTGCCCCATTGAGATGCATTGAAGAGCGATATCGCGCGGTAAATGGCCGCGATATCGCGGGAATTACCGCGTAATAAATCGCTCAATGTGAACGGGGCCTAAGGGCCTGTTCACACGACGTCCGTTTTGTGTGCTGACCGGCTCCGTACGCTGCTGCACTCAAAATGCATCCCAATGTATCCATGTGTTTTATGGGCTCCAGTTCTCACGTGCGCTGTCCGTTCAGCTTACAACAGAAAAAATACTGCATGTCACATTTTGTCAGGTCCGGAAACGCGAACGCGTCCAAAACACACTGCATTGCAGCTAACATACTAACAGCCCCACTCCAGCAAAAACGCGGCAAAAACGTACTACATCAGTCTGCAGATCCGCACCTGATCAGGACCTGATCTCCTTTAGGCGTGGGCCGTTTTGTAGCGCGTTAGGGACGGGCGGAAATACGCCAAGGTGGGAACGTGACCATTGAATACAATGGGATTTAGATGTTTGAGCAGTTTGTAGAGCGTTCGTCGAGCGTAGAACGCGCTACAAACCGTTCAGGTGTGAACCAGGGCTTAGCCCTGGTTCACACCTAGGCGTATTGCAGATGCGCGTCTGTCGCGTGTTTTTTTACCGCGATTCGCGGTAAAAAAATCGTGTGACAAACGCGCGTTTCCGAGGGCTACTTGGCTGTATCCCAATGGAAACGCGCAACAAAAATGGCCCAAAGTAGTACACGTACCTTTTCAGGCGTGAGCCGTTTTGTAGTGCGTTAGGGACGGGCTGAAATACGCCAAGGTGTAAACCAGACCCATTGAATACAATGGGATTTAGATGTTTGAGCAGTTTGTAGAGCGTTCGTCGAGCGTAGAACGCGCTACAAAACGTTCAGGTGTGAACGAGGGCTCAAGGCTGGGTTCACACCTAGGCGTATTGAATATGCGCATTTGTCGTGCGTTTTTACCGCGATTCGCTACTTGGCTGTATCCAGTGGCGTCGCTACAGGGGGGCAATTGCCCCCCCCTAGGTTTTCACTTGCCCCCCCCGTGTGCCCCCCCGCCAGGGATCGGCAAAGGTGTCCTTGCATGGTCCGCCGCGGTCGTACGGAACAGTTGGTACGTCCCAACACCCCCGTCCAATTTGATATTTCATTTAAAAAACATAACATAAAATAAAATATTTTCCTGATCCCTGGATCCACCGACAAGTGCAGCCTCCCGTCTACTATGCTGTCAGAAGCTGCATACAGCATGCGCTGGTTACTACTTAAACCGGCGCGCTGTGTGCAGCTTCTGAGAAGATACGCTATTAGCGTAGCGGGAGTGATGCAAAATGCGCAGCCGACTTCCTCGCTATGCTAATAGCGTATCTTCTCAGAAGCTCCACGCAGCGTGCCAGTTTAAAGTAGTAACCAGCACATGCTGTAGGCAGCTTCTGTCGCAACTGCAGGGCGCAGATGCCATCCGCAATTAAATCAGCTCTCGGCGCCCATCGATTGCGACATGCAATGAAAATTATTAGTGCCCCCCAGATCTGACTGTGGTATCTTATGTGCCCCCCCTATATATTGTTCCTAGAGTCGCCACTGGCTGTATCCCAATGGAAACGCGAGACCAAAACGCCCCATAGAAGTACATGTACTTCTTTGGGCGTAGGCCGTTTTGTAGCGCGTTCAGACGGGCTGAAATACGGAAAGGTGTGAACCATACCCATAGAAAACAATGGGATTTTCAAGTTTGTACGTTTTGTAGAGCGTTCATAGAGCGTTGAACGCGCGACAAAACGTAAAGGTGTGAACAGGGCCTAATTGCTTGCTTTCAGTGATACAGCCATATACTTGAAGAATACTTGCCCACTATTATCGTCAGTGAAACCGGGGCAGATTTATTTTCAAAGAGCAAGGACATTTCAACAAAATTATCACCATACAGATGAAGAAATTAACACTTTCATTTAGTTTAATAATTTACCAGATAATCACAATCTGATAAGAAAAATAAAAAGTTATCACAACAGAAGAAACCACCACTATTGCAAGCTTGTTGATGAGCTCAATGATCTGTGTTCACAATTTTCTTCATTCTCAATTTTTTTTAAATTGAACAATGGCAGGATGATTTTGCCAAATTAAGTTTATCTATAGAATACATATTACTAATGTTCAGTGATCAGAAGCTTCTTGCTCAGCTCTATAAACATGTTTATAGCATAAATGGGAGGCATCCTATAAAAGTGGAGGACAGGAAAATAGGATGTGCTCTCAAGATGGACACAAGATTCCAACAGCAGGTTTAAAATATTAGGAACAATCGGTGTTGTTTCTATGGGAAATCAATTTACTTTACCCTTTCTACACCTTTATTAGCAGAAATATTCTCTGGTCTCTTGAAATATACCAACCACTAAGTATCAGTAAGTTTTAGTACTGTGTCAAATATTGGGAGAGTGCCCTCAAAATACATATTATGATAGCCAAATTCTAAAGGATTTGGGGCAAATCTAAATACCATCAAAACCCAAGTATTCATTGCCTTCTGGCATTAAATGTGTGTTATTATAGCATAAATAATAACACATTATTATAAATATACC